CCCCTCTTCCCTCAAACCCAGGAGTCCTGTTCCCAAGCCCCTCCACGCACAAACCCACAAGTCCTGACCCCCAACCCCTCCTCCCTGAGTCCCCGCCCCTAGCCCCCTCCCGCAGGACCTGGATGTCCCATCCACCTCCCAGACCTTGGTCTGAAACTTTTTCTTGCGATCAGGCAGCAGGTAGATCTTGACATAGGGATCCGAGAAGCCGTTGGAATCCTTGGCCGGGAGGTCCAAGGCCTGCAGGATGCGCACCACCAGCTGGTCGGAGCCGTAGAGGTAACGCAGGGCGAAGCTGATGCGACCACAAGGCGCCCCAGCCTCGCCCGAGCCCGGGGCTCCGGGGCCCCTGCGCCCGCCGGGCCCGGCGCCCTGGTACAGCTCCGGCTTGATCTGCCCGATGAGTTTGGCTTTTTCTTCGCCGCCCGGCAGGGGTAAGGGAAGGGCGGGAGGCCGCTCCTCACTGCCCGGATCTGGCTGCGGAGTCAGTGTCTGCTGGGTGAGGGGCCGGGGCAGAGCGGGGTACCTGTGAGAGTGGAGTGAGAGGTGGGCTTGGGAAGACCAAGGTGGGGTCAGTCCCTTCCACCACTGACTACCTCTTTCTCAACCCTTCACAGCCAGGAGGCCCTTGCTCACTGTGTGACTTGGAGCAAGTCATTTGCCTTCTTTGAACCTGTTTCTCTCAGTCTGCAAGGGGAGATGATTCTCACATCTAAATGAGTTCCCGCCTCCAGTGGCCTGCTCCTGGATTCCAACAGATGACCTGGAACAAGCTTTCCATGAGCCCCTGGATTCCCATACAGCACCCACCCCACTACCAGGGAGTCCATTCGGATTCCTAGTGAGCGTCTCCAAGGTTGTCATTTTTACAGGAGCAGGCAGGCTCATGTTGCTCCTGAGGAGCGGCAGGTGGGTTTGAACTGCCGACTTTACGTTTAGCAGTCCCATGCCTAATCCACCAACGTCACCAGGACTCCTTTCCTACACAGCACTGAACTTCCTTGTATCCTCTTTGAAATCTCTCCAATCCCTTCCTCTCCTCCATTCCCCACAGCCCTGGCCCTTGCTGTGGCCTCAACCTCTCCCATGTGACCTTCCTCCACCCTGGCCTAAAATGTTCCCTTTCCTTCCTCCTTCTCAGGATCCCTGGTGATGCAGTGGCTAAGCGCTAACGGAAGGTCACAGGTTTGAAACCACAAGCCACTCCATGCTAGAAAGAAACTCTATGGAGCAATTCTACTCTGCTAAAGGATTGCTATGAGTCGGACCCGACTCGATGGCACTTAACAACAACAACAAAAGGATCACTGTGAGTCAGAATCCATAGAAGTGGGTTTGTCTTTTCCTTCCTCTCTCCTATTCTTCTTAGAACGTTCCTCTTCCTCCCTTCCTCCCTCCTTTCCTACACAAATCAAAAACCAAACTCTACCTTTGAGTTGATTCCAACTTATCGTGACTCTGCCCCATAGGGTTTCCAAGACTGTAAATCTTTCTGGAAGCAGACTGCCTCATCTTTCTTCCTCAGAGTGGTTGGCGGGTTCCAAGTGGCCAACCTTTTAGTGAACAACTAGGTGCTTTAACCACCACACCACCAGAGCCCCCCCATTCTACATAAACCAAATATATAAATAAGTTAATAAAAAAAATTTTTTTAAGTCGATTTATAGCAACCCTGTGAGTTCCATCTACGTACCTACCTAGAATTGTTCCCTTCCTTCCTCTCTTCCTTCCCTGGTGCCCATACCTGTTGGTGGCACCCAGAGCTCCATCCTCACCCTCACCCTCATTTCTTCCTGTCTTCTCCCTTTCCCATTCACTCTTCCTCCTCTTCCCCACACACTCATCTACACCCCATGTTTCTAAGAGTATCCCCAGGCTGATATCTGCTCAGTCCGTCTCCTGAGCTCCTGCCTAGTCCAGCCTTTGGCCCCCAGCTATCCATCAGACCCCTGACCTCAGCGTCTTCCCACAAACCCAGACCTCCTCTGCAGTCCTTATCTTCTGGCTAGATCAGTGGGGCAAATACCCATCCTCACTTGCTCTCTCCCAACTACTAAATTCTCCATCCTCAGGACCCCTTCTTACACCTCTGTTTCTCCTGTGTGGACCTTCACACCCAGGGTGACAAGTCCAGGTGATGGGGCCTTGGCAATGTGCTGTGCTCAAAAGGCACAACTGTACCTGGAATGCCACCAAGGCAGCCTCAGCATGTGCTGGGTTGTCACACACAGGGCTTGGGGAGCGAGGGTACAGGATTCAAGGGGGAGATACTTCAGCTACTCTTGCCTTGCTCGCAGGTGACTTTGAGTAGGTCACTTGCCCCCTTCGGGCTTCAGCTTCATCATCATTATTATGGGAGCTCAGACCTGTGTTTCCATCCTTGGAAACTCAAATTACATTTCCCATGAATCTCAGACCTGTAGACTAAGGACCACTTCTCCCATGAACTTCCTTCCTACCTTCTGGAGTCGGCCTGGCTGCTGACCCAAAGCGTGATGGTTGGGTCAGCAATCCAGAGGCATCTCAGAAGAAAGGTCTAAAGATCTACTTCCAAAAAGGTTAGCCATTGAAAACCCTAGGGAACACAGTTGTAAACACATGGAAATTACACATGGTGGGTTTAAACTACTGACTGGTTAGTGACCAAGTGCTTAACGATTGCGTCACAGGCTCCTTCTAGCTCACATTAACCACAAACCAAACCCACTGCCATCAAGTGGGATCTTACTCATAGCAACCCTGTATAGGGTTCCTGAGGCTGGGAATCTGTAAGGGTGCAGAAAGCCTCATCTTCCTCCTGCAGAGGGCTCGTGGGTTTGAACTGCCGACCTTGCTTATCCTACACCACCCCCAGGACTCCTAGTAGAATACCAAACCATACCAAGTCTACCACTGCTATTAACTCAGTTGTGACTTGTAGCAACCTTACATAGGATTTCGGAGGCTGTAAGTCTGTGCAGGGGCAGACAGCCTTATCTTTCTTCAGTAGAGCAGTTGGTGGGTTTGAACTGCTGACCTTGTGGTTAACAGTCCAGTGCTTATCCTATAGATGCTCAGTTTATACGAGCACATGCAGAATGCGAAAAATGAATGAATGAATTTTAGCTCCTAACACAAATCCTGGCTCAGAGACAGGATTCAGAGTGCTGAATCTCATTTCCTTTCACCTCCTCATCTTGACAATTAAAGCCCCAAATTTTCCCTTCCTGAGGCCCTGAAGTTCTAGACTCCAGTTCTAGACTCTTCCTCTGTCAGACCCAAGAATCTTGACCCCATAGTTCCCTCCTTCCTCAGATCCAGATGTGCTGACCACCCCCACCCCCCATTCATACTCAGGTATCCAGACCCCCACCCCTCATTCCTTAAACCTAGGAGTCTGAGGGGCAGGCTCCAGCCTTCTCTTTCTCCAAGATCTAAGTGTTCACTCCCCAAGTCCCCTCCTGCCCAAGGACTCCGGACACCCGGCCTTCAGTCCTCTCTCTCCCCAGAACTCAGTAGAGCCATAGATAGGAAACAAACACAGAGGAGGGGCAGGTACTCAGAGTGGACTCCCAACTGCCAATATTCTCTCTCACCTGGGTGCCAGGCTGGTGACCTGCTGATGAGACTGGGCACTGGGCAAGCCCCCACCACTGGGAGGCAACAGGAGTAGTCCAGAGCCTGCCCCAGCCTCAGAGGGCAGCTCAGGGGATGTCTGGCTTGGTTTGACCCCAGCGGCCACCGCAGCCGCAGCAGCCTCGGGATAGGAATCCATGTCCAAGTAGGAAGGTTCAGGGGGGTCAGAGCCTCCCAGGCTGCCTGGCTCCAGCAGCTCAGCGAAGGGTGGATGGTGGGCTGTGTGGGCATGATGATGTGGGCCGCCCAGCAGAGGATGACCACCAAGGCCAGTCCCCAAGTGGTGCCCGCCGCCTCCAACCAGGCCTGCCAGCCCGACCCCAGGGCCTAGGTCTTTGCGCAGGGGGCCGCCGCCCACGGCCGAGCCTCCCTTGTCCCTCCAGGGTACCCAGCATAGCTTCCAGGACACGAAAAGGGAGACACCCAGGAGGACAATGCCACAGAATGTCACGATGACCGACAGCAGGCTGACGGAGATGTCTGGAGAGGGTGAGGACAGAAATCAAGGGTCAGGGGTGGGATCAGAGTTCATCTGCCCACTGCTGACCCCAAAGAGCTAGCTAGGACTTGCCACCACCCGTTGTCATAAACAATGTACATATAGGGTCTTAATTTAAGCCCCACAACTCTGGTGGTTGTTTCTGAATGACTGTTTGGAAGATGGGACACTGAAAGGTTGAGTGACATGTTGAAGGCATCACAGAGCAAAAATGACAGCTCTGGGATTTGAATTCAGCAGCCTGTTTCCAGACTTCCCTCTCTTCATTGCTAGCCTATATTGCCTTTTTCAGTAAGAGGACACATAAACCGTATAAGATCTGGTCCAAAGCCAAACCCACTACTGTTCACTCGATGCCAACTCACAGTAGCCGTAAATGACAGGGTACAACTGCCCCATGGGTATTTCCAAAGCTGTCATCTTTATAAAAGCAGACTGGCATATCTTTCTTCTGCGGAGTAACGGATGGGTTTCAACCACCGACCTTTCAGATAACAGCTGAGCGCTTAACCACTGCACCACCAGCGCTCCTTGGATAGGACCAAGGTCTCGCCAGATGCTCAGAGATGATCAAGGAGAGGGTAGGTAGATTGGTCAGATTGGGAATATGTCTTAACCCCTCTGAGGCTTTGAATTCTCATCTGCTAAATAAGAAACATCTTACATTGATTGTGGTAAAGGCATGCATAGCTGTGTGATACAGTAGCAAGCATTTATGGACTACTACAATTGTGAGGTTGGCCCAGGATTGGGCAGTGTTTCGTTCTGTTGTGCATAGGGTCGCTATGACTCGGTACCGATTTGATGGCACCTAACAACAACAACAACAACAACATTATACCACAACAACCGTATACCAAAGACGCCACTTTACGTAGATCCACAATCTACACTTAGGCAAATTTGCTGCAAAAAACTTTAAAACTGTTCAAGAGCAAAGCTGTCAGTTTGAGGACATAAATGCGCCTGACCCAAACCATGGTATTTTAAATCATCTCATATGCATATGAAGTTGGACAATGAATAAGGAAGACCATAGAAGAATCAATACATTTAAATTATGGTGCTGGAGAAGAATATTAAAAGTACCATGGACTGCCAAAAGAACAAACAAATCGGTGTTGGAAGAAGTACAGCCGGAATGCTCGTTAGAAGCCAGGATGGTGAGACTTCGTCTCTCATAGTTCGGATATGTTATCAGAGAGGATGAGGCCCTGGAGAAGGACATAGTTTGGTAAAGTGGAGGGTCAGTGAAAAAGAGGAAGACCCCTAATGAGGTGATCTGACACAGTGTCAGTAATAAGGCACTGAGACCGAACCATTGTTTGGATGGGATAGAAACAGGCAGAGTTTAGTTATGTTATGCATAGGGTTGCTCTGAGTAGGAACCGACTTGATGGCACCTAACAACAACAACTGTATACCACGAGGAGCCTTGGTGGCACTGGAGGATAAGCACTGGACTGCCAACAATGTGGTTGGCAGTTCAAACTCTCCAGTCACTTTTCAGGAGAAAGATGAGGCTTTCTGCTTCTATGAAGATGTATTGTTTCTGAAACCCTATGCAGAGTTGCTATGAGGTTGGAGGTGATTCTCTGGAAGCAGATTTTGGCTTTGGTTTAACTGTAGATCACAAACCTAAGTGTTTTATGGAGTCCTGGTGTGGTACCATAGGATAAGCACTCAACCTCAAGGTCGGTGTGAACCGCAAGGTCAGTGATTCAAACTCACCAGTCACTCCTTAGAAACCCTATACAGGGTGGCAATGAGTCAGAACCAACTCCATAGCACTTAACACCAAGTGTCTTAGCGAGTCCTGGTGT